ATCATAAGGAAAATCAAGTTTTGTTTTTATTTTAAACCAAGGAAAACTGTACAATTTATTTTCCTTTATAATGACACATGGAATTCACAATCCTTAACACTGGGATCTTTGATGTTAACATGACATTTACTAAGAAAATTTTATTGCAAAAAGAAAAATCACTGAGGGCAAAGGATAATCAAGCCTAGAAATTTTAAACAATATAGATAGGAAATTCAAGTTTGGTTTTAAAAAAAAACCCTAAACTAGTCTTCTTAATAAATCAAACTATATAGTGAACGGTATCAATTTACAAATAAAATGTATTATATATGACGTTACCTTTCCTATCTTATAAATGATTCCTCTACCATTTTACTGTAGAAAGTAAGTCCTTGAAATGGAAAATCCAGTGATTTGTGTCCATTAAGCTGCCCGAGAGATGTAGGTGAATTTTATCAGAATTCATTTTCCTCATTGGCTTTCTACTAAGTGTTTCAATCAATAAACTTATAGAATGCCTCCTGTGGGCAGGCACTGGGTTGATGATGTAGCTAGTCATGGTCCTTGGCCTTCCTGGAGCTTATGTTCCTGCAGAGAAAATAGATGGAAAATAAGAAACAGACAAATAAATAAATTAAAAATTGTGTTTGGAGAATTAGCTCAAATTAAGAGACCAAATAGAGTTGATCTTTGTCTTTCTCCTCCCTTCACTAACTTTCTAATTGACATTTACATGAATGTGGCAAGCATATGTGAAACACTTTTAACACCACTAGGTTAGCCTTGTGGAAACAATTTGAGTACCATACTGTAGAAAGTAAAGCAAAGCTTTAAAGCTAAATTATTCCTGAGACTCTTCGCCAGCATCCACTCAAGTTTAGGGCAAAGGAATGAGGAGGCCAAAGACCGTAATTGGAAACTCTCTGAACTAAATTATGGTTTTGAATATCTGCTCACAAAATAACTCATTTAGCACTGAAAGTATGTTATTATTAGGATGAACACTGAGAATATAACCTTCTCTATTCAAAATAAACTTTTGCCCAAAATGTTTTATCATCTGATCTCAGGCTTTTCTCCATATTCTCAGTCTTATCTTCATTTACTCCTCCTGAATACAGCTGATATTAGAGCCATCTAAAAGGATGCAGCTCACAGCTCCATGGATACAATTATTGTGACGTGTAGCTCCCATCCTTACCCAGTAGAAATTGTATGTTGCCGAGAATGATTGATTGATTACTGCCTTTGTACTTGATTTTGTCATTATTCATTATTTTCTTTGTCAAACAGACCCACACTCTTCTTCACATAATCACCCAGTCCTGTCTCTCTGTAAGCAAAGTAGCTGATGGCTCCCAACAGCCCACTGTGGAAATATGTAATGATAGCCCTGGGCAGAAATGGCTACTAAGAAACTATACAAGAATGGAAGTTTTTAGGAATATTTTTAAGAATCCTACTGATTATATTCTCAAATAATTTTTGGAGGTTTGTGTTATAGACTTTATTAAATTTATTTTAGATTTTTGTTATATTCTGTTATTGAAATCTAGAAATTTCTTTAAAATGTGGTTAAGAAAAATCTTGATGTGCTATTTCTCCATGGAATTATTTTTCTCTCTTTCACCTCTTAGCTGCTAATTAATTTGCATACTGCATATATTAAGTAGTGTTTAGTCTATTATTAATTAATAGGTATTTTCCAGTTTTTTCTTTATTTCAAATATATATATGCATAAATATAATTGAAGGCATACATTATGACATTTTAGCTCTTTTTTAGGCTAACTATAGCCATGTCTCTATAACAATAGATTTTGCATTAGAGCTGAAAATAAATCAATAAAAAACTAACATAGCCAAAAAATGGATTGCTTTTGGAACATTGAAATATTTAATTTTGTTAATTTTTACTCAGATACTTTGGTTGTGTGCAGATATGGCATATCCTTTCTGGAATTTATTATTTTAACCTGAAACTTTAAGCAAGTGCATTATTGAAAGCTAAGATGTAATTTTTAATAACTTTATGAAATAAATTGTTTTTAAACATTTCTTTGTGGTTGGTTAAGTGATATAATTATAATAATAAATGCTTTTTAAAAATTGTATCATTTATCTCTCACTTGTATGATTTGTGAATATCTTCTCAGTAAGCAATAAAATGAATCATCATTCATTTCAAGTAAAAAAACTGGTATGGAATTGTTGTGAAGAGCTCAAATAAGAACGTGTCCTCGTTCTTGATCTTAAGGGACTCATTGTCCTCTAAATGATATTAAATTGTCCAATACCTTGCTATAAGAACACATGGGCAGTTAGGGACATATTCTGGTTCAGATGAACCAGTTAAAAGTTGTTAGTAGAGGACACAATTGAGCTTGGAATGCTTGTGACAAGGCTGGGAATGGAGGTCTGGAGGGGAAAAGAGAGAAGGGGTGTTGTTTAGCTTAGAAATACATTGAAGGGCATGCCAAACATGCTGGAAAAGTCTGGGCCTTTTGCACAAAGAGCACTTGGGTACAAGGCAACGTAAGTATATTATCTTAGTTTGTTTTCAAAGTAACCATACCCGATAGGTGCAATGACCATTAAGGGATCTTCTCAGACTTGACATTTCTTCTTACAAGTCTGCTTACAGGATTCTAGGGCAGAAACCACAACTTGATTCTCTCAGCAGAATTTGCGGCATTCCCTCAGCAGTTCATATAGACTGTGGGAGCTGGCTTCGCCAGAGGTGACAGCCCTGTGCAAGGGGATGAGAGCCATGTCACCTGGAAACCTTCCTGGCTTAATAGCCTCTTGCTTCACAGGAAGCAATATCTCTGTAACAACTCCATAGGCATAGCTCCAAGTAACCCAATGGAAGGTGCAAAATTCTAAGTCTTTGCACTTAAAGAAGCCCACAATTTGTGTTCCTATCAGCTATTAACGTTGCAGTTTATCAGATGGACATGCAATTTATCAATCAGAGGTCATTTTTACCATAAGCAATGTTGCCTAGAAACATAACCCTTTTACCCTTATCAGGTTGCCGTGGGATCACAGTTAGATAGTCGACTGCCGGTCAGATTTTTTAAGCAGAAGGAGAAAGGGCATTTTAAGTATTCATCAGTATAACTAAGCATTTTCTGACAAAGACTCTGATTCCTCAGAATGATTTGGTAGCTTGCCCAAGTTTTCATGGTTAGTAAACGGGGAAGCAGGAATTCATATTTAGGGCTCTCTGACCCTAAAATATCTGTGTTTCTACTGTACTATATTAAAAAGGAGAGTTTTTTGGTTGGTCGGTTGTTATCTTTACAGCAGTGGCTTTTGACTTAATTCCTTCAAAGAAAATATTTAAGCATTTTTTAGAAAGAACAATATTTACTAATATTTCTTAAATTATCATTATTTATGTAGTTGAAAACACATATTCAATCTTATCCTTAAAGTCATATACATTTTTTAAAAAAGAATCTAATAGAAACAAGCAAGGGTAAGTGGTTTTTGTGAAAAAGGACATACATACGCAAAGGACTTCAGGTACGTAACAAAAATGAGGAATATTTTGTTGATTTTAACTAGAACTTTCTAGAAAAAAATGTTTGATTTTTTGTATCTTTCAAGTTGGCTGTTGGTTCATAAGCCAACAACATAATTTCTGGCATCATAAGCATAAATCAACTATCTTCTTGCCTGTTACTGGCTATTTTTTCTTTTCTCCATTTTTAGTATAAATAGCTTGGTACAACAAAGCCCTCAATCTTGAAATCTCGTTCGCATCTAAGAGCCTTGCTCTTTTACTTCCTGCTTGCTTTCCACCATTTTCTGTTCCATCTTTTCTCAGGATAGTGCAGTCCAGGGTGTTTGCAGTCCTGATCCAAACAAATTACCATTGTCTAGACAGTGTTTCTCCACCATTTTTTTTGCATGCCCCTTGTATTTTTTATCATACAACTTCCAATGTAATATCAAGAGCCAAAAAAAATAAAAATAAGAAGATCTATCTACCTTTAGTTTTGGTAATAGGCAGCAAAAGTATATGGCATACTTTTTCAAGATATATCTGCAAGTCACCTTCCATACATTCAAACACTCCTCTTCTGGTTGGGGAGTTTTTCGTATAGTATGGTTCTAGGCATTGTCCATGAAACTGAATAGAAATGTATATAATTAGTGTGCATCAGTTAGTATGCATAAAGCATATGGACTTAAAATGTATATCTGAAAAGTCCAAAAAATACGATCTCAAAATGTAAATGTGAACTGCAAAGAGAAGACATGTAATGATTGGTGAACATGATGCATTTATTGGAATTACATTTCAGCATTTGGGTACTGAGAGGATGCTTATTAATGAATACTGTTATCATGAAGAAAATAAAATATAGATACTTAAAAGTAAATGAGCATCACATCTCTATTTTTATTTGATATTGATATTTTTTAAGATCCTTAAAAATGCAAACCAAAATATGGTGAGCATACTCTCCAGTAAGACAGATCTTTGCTGCTGTGATAATCACTCCTCTATGGTGACTGTCTCACAGTCAAAGTACTATGGCTTGTTTAGTATTTGGAAATGGGAACATCTCTGGCGGTTTTGTTCATTTGGGTCACAGCTGTGACATCTCTTTGCATGTTTACCAAATGATTAATGAATAACACATGCCTAAGAAAACTAAGCTTTTGTGAAAGCTTGTTAATATTTGCAGCCCTCAACTGAACTCAGAGCTAACAAATGGGATTTTTGCAAAGGAGCCTGAATTCTTGGCAATGCACGATAAATGACAGCCGATTTCTTTAACCATCTGCAAATAAAGGAGTATTCGACAATGATGAAACCATAACAGTGAAAATTGTATAATAATTAATTCAGAGCCACCTGTGCACATTTCCTTTCACAAACATATGACTGTGTTTACAGTAAAAAAAAATCATAAATGATTTTGTAAGAGCAAATGTAATCTGATGTGCTTATGAAGTTAAAGGTAAAATATATTGCACTGATTATTGGTTATCTTTTACAGAGACTCACCCTGAGACATGTTAACAGTAACCAATGTCTTGATGAACCTTCTGAAGACGACAAAATGGTGCCCACCATGCAGGACTGTAGTGGAAGCAGATCCCAACAATGGCTGCTAAGGAACATGACTTTGGGGGCATGAAGACCATTTCCCCCAAGCCATGAAAGTGTCTACACTTTTGTTTTTCCATTATTTCAGCTAGGGAAAAATATTAACTTTGCTGAATTGAAAGTTTTAAAATCCTTTTATTATTCTAAAACACAGTTGTTTATAATTCATTTTTAGGAATGTTTGCTTATTTCCCTACTAAAATTTGTATCTGATCAAAAAGCACATAAGAAATATAAATAACAGCAAACTGTTATTAAACATCGGAACAACTTAAAAAACAAATTGTGTTTGCTTTTAAAAACAATCTTTATTCCCTCACATCACAGGATTTATTGGGGGGTTATTTTTATTTTTCTTGTCATAGTTGTTGATAGAGGGACAATGTAAATGCCTTATAAAATATCTTCATTATGAAATATCAGTTGTTTTATAAACTCACTCTGTATCTACTGGACTTTCATGGAAACATGTTCAATATCTATGTCAACAGCAAGACCACACACTGAATTATTTCTGAGCAATCAATTCATCGTACTAAGTTCCAGTTTTGTACCAGGAAAAAAGTTAAATTGGATAATGATTTCTTATAGAGTTCTTATAAAAAGCATCACATTTAAACAAAAAAAAAGAGGAGGAGAATTTGAAAATTCAATTTAAAGTACATGAAATCAAGAAACTAGCTGAACATTGCAAGGAGCAAGAAGAAGCTACAATTGAATCATTTTAAAAGATATTCCGTTTGGGTTGCAGTCACTCCTAATACAGGCTGAGTGTAAATCATCTTAGTCCCAGAGTTGACATCAGAAACTCAGTCCTTACCCACTCGCTTTGTCTCACGTAAACTATACAGCCTTCACTATAGAGACTGTAACGTGTTGCTTATGCTGTACAGAATTGTAGGTGAAGGGTGAAGTTTTAGCCCTAATTTTTAGGGTTTTTTTGCATTTAAAGATTTCAGTTAGATCAGTTACCATTTTAATTTTATATTTTAAAAAATAATGCGTTAGTATCAGAATTTCATTGCTGTGTTAGACTATCTAAAGTTTTCATCACTAGGGGAAAGAACTCAATACACATCCATTAAACTTCTATTTTGATTAAACTCCTAGATAGAATTCACCATAAATTGTGACTCACAGAACACAATCAGAATTAGGCTAGCTTCACATGTTCTTCCTCCATCTTAAAATCCTTTGTGTTCAAAATAGATGAGCAAAAGACATGAAAAGGAAGAAAAATCTACTAGTGAGATTTGTGCTAATAAGTTTTAGTGTTTGGCACCATTTAAAATGTCCATAAAGCTGCTCTACGTATGTATTTTATTCATTATAAATGGACCCAGCAGCTAAGAGAATTTGGGGGGAAAAATAGAAGCAGCATCCTGTAAAGTAGAAGATGCCACGTCTTCCCTCTCATCTTTTCTTAAAAACCTCTGACAGAAAATGTTAGTTCAGCTACAGGGCAACTCCTTCTCCCTCTCTCTGTCTCTCTGTCTCTCTCTCTCTCTGTCTCTGTCTCACTCTCTCTCTCACACACACACACACACTTGCGCACACACACACACTGCTTTATAATGAAAAGGAGGACACTTTCTGAAGGCCAGTAATATCTTGTGTGACTTTCCCAGCCAGCATTCCTTCCTTTTGGCATTATACTGGTACAGCTCTAAGGATGAGTTCTACAACCTGGAGCACTTTCATTTACTCCTTAAAGTATAGACGTCCCTCACCTCAAGGTCTCTGGGAATCTTTGAATCTCTTAAAATTATAAGCAAAGGTTTGATTGTCGGACATGTTTTTCTGAGGGGAGAATTCAGTGCTTAAAGCAAACTTCTAAGGAAACTTTGACTCCCAAGAGCTATGAACCACTGCCTTAAATCGATAGTGGCCTCACAACTCAACTGAGGTCTGACTTAACAATCCCATTTTCCGTTTTCACTGTCTTTTTTCCCCTTTTCCTGACTAAAATATGGTAGAATGTCCCTGCAAAGCATTTTTCCTTAAACTTAAAAAGCTTAAAGACTCAATCAAGGACTCAGACAATCTGTTCCAGTTATTATGGATCTGTCAATCAAAATGCATGTGTTATCTAGCAAATAGTCAACGACAAATTTTTTGAAAGTACAGCTACTCTATCAAAACTGAATTTGACACATTTCAACAGCATTTTAAATATTTGAAATTTCATTATGGTCATAAGCAAAAATACAGGAAAAATGAAAACTGCATGAATTTCATGCCAGAGGAGAATTTTCAAAGAATCCTCAGATGGTTTAAGCACATGCTATTAGAGTATCTAACAAACAAAAAATGACATAAAATATCAAAAAGCTAGAAATTAGTTTTTTTCAAAAATATTTATTGTATTTAGTACAGAAAATTAGAATCCTGATTGAATTCGCAATGCACTCATACCTTCCTTGTCTATGGAACTAGACTAATAGATATTTCAAATGACTTTACACTTCCTCTTCCGAGGTCGTCCCCATTGCAGTTAATGCCAACTCCAACCTTCCAGATGCTGAGATCAAAAGCCCAGAGTTACTTTTAACTCTGCTTTTTCTCTCTCAACTTTTGTCTAATCCATCAGCAAATTCCCTTGATGCTATATTGAAATATAAGAAGAAACCAACAACTTACCACCACATCCACTGTAACCTTTTTCTTTGCAATATGCATGTAATTTGGTTCCCTAGTTTGCCAGCCTTTCCTCCAATAGTCTTTTCTCGATACAAGAGCCATAGTGATTCTCTTAAACATAAATTTGACTGTGTCACTTCTCTGTTCACAACCTTCCAATGACTTCTCGTGTCTCTCCAACCTAACTTCTCACAGTGGTCTTCAAGGTCCTTGATGAATGACACCCCTCTACTCTTGTGCATACGCACACACATAAGCACGTGTTTCTGATTACGCGTCATACCATTCTGCCCCTTACTTATTTTATTCTGGCTTCCAAGCAAGTTTCTGTCTTGGTGTTTTGTTCCCTCTGCCCCACAGAGGTCTTTCACTCGCTTTCTTTAGATCTCTGTTCAACTATTATCTCGTCAGTAAGGCAAAGCCTTCTCCCTCCTGCCCTCATTATCTCCTGTACATTCTCTAACAAACTATGAATTTTCTTCCTTATTTTTTATCTACCCTTCCACCTCCCTACCCGCCAACATCCCCATCACACGCCTTAGAATATAAGCCCCATAACTGCCGGTACTTTGCCAGTTTTGTTCACTGTGGTATCCCCAGTACCTGTTAGAGTTCTTGGCACATAGTAAGCATTCTTTAAATATTTCTTAAATTAATGAACTGAAAAATATGTGTTATAGTTGCTAAGTGCTACTGTATCATATCCCTTTTTTTGCACATTATTTTAAATTTTAAAATAAAGTTTAGTCATATATTTAGACAGGATTTACATAACTTTCTCGCTAAATGATAATTTTCTTCCTAATTTCTTCACATTAAAATATGGACTATATTTTTTCTCTGTGATAAAATATCCTGCCTTATGGAAATGAAATATGAAATTTTATAAACATGCTGCTATATTATATAAGTTGCTTTATTAAGATAAACATTATTTTTATTTTTTGGTTATGTTCAATGGCTACCTGAAGGTGTAAGATTTTTACTTTTAGAGGGAGATGTATCATTCTCTTAAAAATCATAGTGTATTTCATGGTTCCATAGAAGCTATTGCTAAGTTTATTTTCTAAGTGCAAGTATATGAACAAAACACAATTGTAGAAACTTTGAAAGGACTTTACAGATGATCTATGTTTAGTTTCTCTGTTTATAGATAATAAGGCTGAGACCCAGATATGTAATGTGGTTTCCCCAAGGATCACATAGCCATTATTAGTGTTGCCAGGACTCATCATTGTTAATATAACCTAATACTGTCTTCAATTCTAAAGTACTCAAAAATAAAATAGGAAGGGCACAATAATGAGGAAAATGTCTTCATTAAACATTTTGTGATAAGTACATTGATTCTTTAGAGACCTATAACTTCTCACTACCTTTCATACTTAAATAAGATTAGCTCTATGAACTACTACCACAGGCGATAAATAAAGACCTGCAGCAGAAATAAAGAAATTAACAGGAAACAGCATAGTTACAAAACATCCTGGCATTATTGGGCAAAGTAGTTTTCAGGGAAGCAAAGCCTCTTCAGCAGTAACTAATGGAACATACTCTCCACTCACTTCCGTTTTCCTTATAATGATATTCAAGTTAAAAGATTGGCCTACAGCTTGCACAGAGAATTAGACCAGCTAGTACTGTGAACATTGGGCAGGTTCTAGGTTACGCAGCTTCAAAGACTGCTGGGTAATCAGCAGAGATTTCTAGGCTTCCCAGGGGAGCTCTGTAGGTTCTAGTAAACACAACCCTCAAATTCAGTTTTGCTATGGTGTTTAGAAACAGCCTAATAAATAAAAAGAAAAAAAAAAGTAAAGGGAGAGACAGAAAAAATAACCACAACAATAAAACAAGAGAAACAATTTTAGCTTTTTTTGTTTGTTTGGTGGGAAGTTGAGAGCATAGCACAAATTGGTGCAGTGAAGGTCAAAATATTGATTCCCCCCTATGTTGTTTTCACCACTTGAGAAATGATGATCATATCTAATCACAACCATTTTACTTACATCTCATTTATAGATGCTCAATCTAATATTACAGGAGGCAAAATGTGTACGCATTCTTAAATTATAAAGGATGCTAATTTGACAAATACAAAGAATTTTACAAATTCAAGATCTTGATGGATGTGTCATCATCCACAAGCCGTCTTTCTGCATAGCTGATAACTGCAAACTTGAATAAATTTCCAATTCACTTGGGCAGCAAAAATTCAGTTAAGTCTTAAGGCAACTTATATTTCAAGATTCAGCCACTACTGACCATTTTTTCCCATTTTTCTCCAATATGTCAAATATGGAATAGAAAACACAGCCGCTCTTCTATACAGCACATGAACTCATCTGGTGTGACTACACCATGTTCAAACTGCTATTAAGTATAAGCTACTGTATGACTTTAAGGTGTTGAATGAACACCAGCAATGTGTTTTAAATAGTTTGTGTAAATTTGTGTCCAACTTTTGTTTTATATTGTTCAATAAATTCTGAAGGCAATTTTCATTGTATTTGTTTAAAAAATCCCTCTGAAATACTAGTGATGCAGGGCAGCTCTTTTGTTAACTGTCTTTTGAGATAAAGACCACTTCTATGATATTTATGTCCTCATTATATAAAGTTATCATTTTGCTTTTGTTTTTAGCTAGGGAGAAAAAAATCACTTAATATTCTGTTTTTAATGAGTTAGGATGAGGATGGGAAATTAGATGATTAAGGCTATATCTATGACAGTTAAAAAATGAGATTTTCATCATGCATTTAATTTGGTAAAAGAATGAATGTAAGCTGCTGCCTGGTTTCAGTTGTATTTTCAGCTAAAAATAGCACAAGCGGAAAAAAAAGGACTTGATGATTATATGAATTTTTTTTGCAGGAGCTTTTGTTTTTTTGGTCAGTGTAGCAATAGCTAATGAGAAATTATTCAAAAATGTTTTAGTTATATGCTTGGCACACAGTTCTTTAACATTTATAAAAGTAGATTGTGCATAAAGAATTACACATTTTAAATATTGTAAGCATTACTAAATGGTGTAATTGTCCTTTTGCTATAAATTTAAATATTTATACATTTTTGTAGAATTAAAATATACTAATGTAGTTTTCCTTTGCTATACGTTGTTTTTTTAAAATTTTGTTAGCATTTCAAATAGATGACCAATTTCAGTATTTTATGTTTGTGTTCCATTTTGTAGATTATTTAAATAAATGATTAAGTGCCTATGGATATCTCTTAGCAGTAAGAAAATATTGTGATCTGAGTGCAATTTTGATACCAAAAATATATAAAATAGAAACATTAAAATGTGCATGATTTTAAAGAATTTATTATTTTATTTATTTTTTATTCTAAAATGATTTGATTGATTTTTTCTCTTTCTGTTTTATAAAAATGACATGAAATAGACAAGTTAAAATGTTTCATATTATATTATGAAAATTATTTTTCAGAGTAATATGAATCGTACCCAATTCCTTGATTCTGGTGCTGGAATCCTGGAGGTCAGTCTGTGCAGGTTAGGAGGGGAGCATGGGGGAGGCTGCCCACCTCACAGTGCGGGGATTCCCCAGGATCAACCCTGCAGGCCTAGCCACACACAGAATCAAGGGAGAAAGTAATAAAAGATTATTTCATTTGCTAACTTGAAAGAGCAAAGAAAGGAGGGAGGATTCTAATATTACCTATTTTTATAATTTTGTTCCGAAGAAAAATTATCTAAAATATTTTATTATGTTTGCATGATTCAGAAGCTCATTGATTTGCAAACATCATGAATACCTCATTGGTTTATTGGTTTTCTAAAACTTTTTCTAATACTGTCGGTATAAGTAAAAGATATTGTCTAGATTTTGTGTCTTACATAGACCCAAAAAGTCCCTTCTTGGCTTTCTGTAACCGGGTGGGACTCCATGTTATGCCTACTTTCTTTTGACTACGTTCTTTTCTATTACTCTTGTCCAGGAACACAGCCTGTTATTTGAAGTGCTAACCAGGTCAATCTAATAAAGCAGCCCCACCCCTCTGAGGTTTTGTAGACCCATAACTTACCTTATTTTGCTTTTCTTCAGCACCTAGTAGAAACAAAATGTGAACTCACATGCTCCTTCTCAGCCACGGAGCTATTGGGTGGCCTCTCTGCTCACTCACTATTTTCTAACATAATGATTATTTTTTCCACATGGCAAAGGATATTAATTACTAATCTCAGCTTCTACTATCAGAAAGAGTTGGCAGATAGAGAGCTGACTGAACTTCTGCTGATAAATCTCTTTGCCAATTTTGTGTAGTGGAAACCTAGATAAACGTGCAAACATCTGTTTCATGGTTTTCTCTATTAATGAGACAAATGACTTAGAGCAGCAAGCACCCTTCATCTACCACATGATAACTTATATAAGGCAGAGGCTAAGAAATCAACACTGTTTGAACAATTGGGGTCAGAATTGAAAAGAGCCTTCACAGAGATTAATGGTACCTGGACTTTCAGCACCTGAGCTCTCACCTGGATTTCTCTATGTACGCTTGCAAATTTTGCCCTTTAAAAGACGACATGAAGTTAAATTGCATAAATAAAAACACTTCAAAGTTCTTCCTCTAACGATATGGACTAAAGGGAGTGGTAAATCCATTTTTCTCACATACTTTGCTTTTTTGAAAACTGATTTACGTTAGCAGAATCAGAAACATTTGATTCAGAAGATCATCATCTCCTCCTTTGGGTAAACTTTTTTCATTTCATGGTTTTCCTCCTACCTCACTGGTCAATTGCTTTTGGTTTCCTTTCTAGACTTTCCTCCTTTCTGTCGTCTCTTAAGATTGGAGTGCACCAGGGAGCAATCCTTGGTCATCTCCTGTATTTACACTCCTTCCCTTAGTGAGCTCATCCAGAACCATGGGTTTCAATTCCTCCTACACGCTGCTCACTACCAAATGTCTCTCCCCAGGTCAGAACTCTTTGAAGTGCACCTGCCTACTCTACGGCTCCACTTGAATGACTAGTAGACAAATAGACGTCTCATACTTAATATATCTGACTTATCCTGCTGTACAAATCTGTTCAATCCAAGAAGACTTTCCATCTCAACTGATAGTAACTCCATTCTGCCAGTTGCTCAGTCCAAAAATCTTGGTGTCCTCAACGCCTCTTTCTCCATTAGAAAATTCTACTGGTTCCACCTTTACAATATTTTCTGAATCTAACCACTTCTTAACTGCTACCACCCTGGTCTGAGTCACCATCTGAATTACTGCAGCAGTCTTCTAATTGGTTGCACCCTTGCCTCCTCCACAGTCTATTCTCAGCAGAGAACCAGAATGATGCTATAAAATGTAACCCAGATATGTCTCTCCACTGCTCAGACCTCTCCGGTGGTGTCCTGTTTTGAATAAAGGGCTATGTCCTTACTAGAGCCTCAAAGGTCCTGCATGATCTCATCCCTGTTATCTCTCTGTCCTTTTTCTCTCCAATGTTTCATCCTTGCTTGCTTCATTCCAATAACTCTCCTTACCACTTCTTTGAACAACCTAGGCATGCTCTTGGTTTAAGGCCTTTGCTTGGAATACTTGTTCTTAGATATCCACATGCTAACTCCCTCACCTTGATCACAACTTACATTCTCAGTGGGATCCCCCATCCACCCTTTTTAAAACTGTGGCCTGCCTTCCTTCTCTCTGAGTAGTATACCAGTCCGTAAACCTGCTCCGATTTTTTCCCATAGCAGTTATCACCTGCTAACGTATTATCAAATTTACTTATTGTTTTTAATGCTCACTTACTTATTCCCTCTTTCTCTCCACCCTCTACCCCTACCAAGCACCCACCACTTGAATATAAAATACCAAAGAGCAGGGATCTCAATTTCATTGTGATAATGCATGTATCTACAACAAGGCCTGGAATGTGCTAGGCACCCAAGAAATATTTTTTGAGTGTCAAATGAATTTCCATCTTTTCTCTCCTCTACTGGTATGCTGTATTCCATGCCTGGGGTGAGAAGGAGGCAGAGAGAGAAGGACTTTAAGAATTTTCTGCTTCTTTTTGTGTTGATACATTTTAACTTCCTCTACTTTTTAATATCCTCCTACTAAAGGGATTACACAATCTTTCTTCATTGCAAAACTATTAATTTTTAATGGAATGGATGTCTTTGGAACTTGAGACAACTCCATAATTATATGAGTATTAGAGTAATTAAATTTGATATGACCCAGATGGGCATTTTTCCTCTAACAGAAGTGTGGTATTTTGTGATAGGATAATAGAATGTTAGGATGACAAGGCAGCTGGAGATGTGATCAACCTCTGAATCATAAAATAACATTTGCTATCACGGACTAACTTTATTTGTACAAATTTATTATAATTTCTCTCTAAGGTTTGTTTCTGAAAACTTGATACGTACTACTTATACATTCCTGAGGATGTATACATTTAAAGGGACTACACAGTATACATTTATAAAGTCCAAATTTAAAAGATAACCAAAAATTAAACTCTCCCTGCTCTGCCTTTCATTAGCGTCACCACTTCTGTGCACAGGTCTCTGGTGCTGGGTGAGGAGATTTTCTTCTCCTTCTTATGCTTCTCAAGTCTGAAGCAGTGTCAGCTCTACACTCTGATGTTGTCTTCTCTTCATCCGCCCTGGACAGATCCAGGAGGCTATACCCGCTATATCACTTTTGGCAAGCAGTGTAAGTAAAGGTTTCTGTTAGCTGCACTACAGAGGGCAGACCCTGAAGACCTAATGACATTTGCTTGCACCCAACAGAATCTCTTTCAATACCAGTCAAGCAGCAGAAGAGCTATTCTTGCTTAGATAACCTCTCAGGACAGTTTTATTTACTTTGAACTAGATCATGACCTTTTAATCCTACAATTAGAGTGTAGGGTGGAAGAGTATGGATTTTGAAGCCTGGTGACTTATATTGCCATCTCATGTGGGCCACATACAACCTGAGCTAGCAAGCCTCTGGTCTTTATCAGCCAATGTACCCACCTAGGTCTTACCTTGAAGGGCACTTGGGAGGGTCACTGATGGTTCAGGTAAAGTGCCTCTGGAACAAAATAAAGCCACCTAAGGGAAGGTTTGCATTGTGTCTGGTTTGTTCATCATGATTCCTTCATCTAGAGAATAGCTGACACAAAGGATGCTTTTGATGGACAAGAAATGCCCAGGCATTTTACGTTTGTCTTTCCCCTCATTTTCCCACCTTCTATGGAAGTTGGCTTTTGTTTTGTATCATAAGCAGACCGGAAGTCTTGTGTTTACCCCTGTAGGCCCACAGTCAGTGGAGTAGAATTTAAACTAGAGCACCCTGAGGAAGATACATTCTGGAACTTAGGAACTTTATGTAGAAGCTCTTCAGATCAGCTTCCCTGAAAAGCAGCACCTTAGATTTGCAGCAGTAAGCCTGGAATACAATCATTTTTGGCCATCCCTCAGTAGCTACCACACTGATATACAAAACTCTGTTTATGATAAGCTCTACTGATCTTAAA